CCCTTTGGTTTATGGGCTCAAAAGACGAACAGTTTCAGGTTGGAAAACCAACCAGGTCCCCGTAGCCCGGCCGTTCGTGTTTCAAGCAAACCATAATGAAGGCCTTTGTGTTGAGATCGCACAAGTTGTTTATTTAGTGAGTTGTTTTGGCTGAGGAACGACCTGCCGGGCGGCTTCATGGGTCAGCTCCGGAAGTTCTGCGAGGTGCGCGAGAACGAGCCCCCGGGCCGAAACCTGTCGGACGAGCTGCCCTGCATGACGCGGGCCATGTGCTTCATCCTCAAGGCCAGCTATGAACTTTCATGGGGCCTTCAAAAAAGGCCCTGAATCCTCTGGGCCCTCCAAAATGCCCGGTGGGCTTAAATACTGATGTATATGGTGTCCACCAAAAGGGATCCCCAACCTTTGCTGGCCGCCGCGTCCAGCACCCTTTCCAACGTTGGACAAGGGAATGATGGCTGACAGCTGAGGCATTGCTGCAGCGTTTGGCATATTGCGAGGAGCAACTTCTCGATGCTTTTCAAGGATCCTTTGTTTCAGAAAACCGCCAAAGTCCACAAGGGCTGGTTTGTGGGTTTGTGCAAAGAACGGCGACGGTGGTTGCGAACAATTGGATTCACGGAAGTGAATCGCTTCGCCTCATGAACATCTCAATATTCCTGCGGCTGATCTGCATTTTCCCCCAACCTAAACAACGCATTTCTCCCAATTTCGCTTAGGTTGTAGTTGAGCTTGTCGAGCACCCATTTGGGGCTGAGGTGGAATTGCACGTCTCTAATTAGGGTGAAAGGGCAAGTTGAATTTGAACCCAGGAGTTTTAACCCCTTGGTTGATCAATCGGGCGGGGGTGCTTTTGCATGTGCATATAGCGTGTTCCCCGGAAGCATGTTAATCTGAGTCTATGGCACTCGCGTGCATGTAGTCTGTCTCCAAAACACCACACATGCCCGTACTTGAATCAGTGGCAATGTTGGGCAACATTTGTTTAAAAACAAGACCTTGGCCCCCTTCGAAGTTGAAGGGACACCAATTTGTGTTCGTAACGGTTTGGTGGTTTCATTTGCATGCTTTAAACATGCCTTTGTTTCAACCAAGCATTTTCCGGGGCGTTGAAGGCACCTGTTCTGCCCACGCCAGGGGGCGATCTCCTTGGTGCAGATGGTCCCGGTGGCCGAGAAGACGGACGCGCTGGAGCCCAGGGCCGCCTTCAGCTTCCGCCAGGCCGGTCCGAGCGATGCCGCGCGAAGCCGCAGTGAGAGGGGGGAGGGAACCCGGGGGCGGGGGGGGGGGCTTGTTGATAGCATTTGCTAGTTTATTGACTAAGGTATGGCTGATCTATGGACAAATGGTTCTGATTTGCTTCAAGGTATGCCCTTGCCCTAGATTAGAATAACATTGCCAGTAATCGAATGAGTAATGTTAATAGTAAGCATGGAGTTCCTATTGAGTGGGCAAGCACATTGTTCTCGTGCTCGTGTGTTGTTTCAAGCTTGGCTTGCGAAGGGTTGAGGGTGCAAGGGTGAAGCACACTGCATGGGCTGGTTCTTGGCTTTGCGCAGGTGCTTTTGTGCGGAATAAGTCAAAATCCAGGTCTCAGGCGGCCACATGGGTCATCAAGTGGCCCTGTTTGGATGCTTTGGTTGGCTTATTGGACCAACCCCAACCCCCAGTGATGCGAACATACATACACACAGAACCAGTCCAACATCCGGCAGAGCCACTCCCCTACGTTATTTTAGGCGAATTTCTTTTTCGGAAACAGACTTGTTGGTTTCCTTCCGTTAATTTGCAGACCACACTTTCGAGAATCCCTTTCCCAACTTCCCAACCCAAAAACGGGCTGCAATTCAGAGGCCTGTAAACGGGCTCTAATACACGGTTCCAGCCTGCACCACAGAACAATAACGCGTGTCAGAAAGGAACCCATTTGTTACAACCTCTTCAACGGGTCACCCGGTTCAGCAATGGAGCAGCGTTTCATCAATTCCCAATTCCCATTGTGACTGGGTGCTACGTAAATAGGGAGGGGTTGGGGGGTGGGGGGGAAACAATTTGCCCATGCCCTTGTGGTTTCCCTTGGGGCAACTTACAAATGGGCCATTTAGCACCGTACGTCTCAGGGCAAGCGCCTCTTGACGCGCTACCCGCCCGGCCACGTGGCGGGCATCGAGATCTTCTTTAAGTTCCACAAGCAGGCGCTTAGGGACCCGGAATGAGCTTGGCTGCTAGGTTGGACCTTTAACGCTGTTGGTTGGATGTTCAGACTCTAACTTTTTGGAAAAGCTCCAGAGATTGGAATTTGGGACCCGTGCACTTGTTGCTTCCCTGCAAATTAGCAGAAGGAACCTACAAAAGGGGGCCTCCAAGAGGAGATTCCCCCAAGGCTTTTGGGAGTCCCATGTCAATCTGCGGGGGAGTACCAGTTGAGCTGGACAAAAGGATCTTCAGTCGAGCGCCCTCCTGGTGGTCAGCAACACCTGGGCAAGGGTGCGCGGCAAGGCCAATCAGGGAGGTTGTCCCTCGTCCTTGTGGTGGGATCCGCGAGCAAACCACGAATTCCCAACGACAATGTCCAAATTGTTGAACATTTGTGACCGCGCTTTTGGGTGCGAATCCTTGTTGTTCAAGGGCACTTTCAACAAACCAAGGCAGCCGCTTGCCTTTTACCCATTGCCACCGGGCAAAGGAGGGTTCGTGTTTCTGGAAGCCCGTCTGTCATTTTTTGTGTTGCCCCTTTTGGTAACGGTAGTTCACGCATTTAGAGGGCCACCGAAGTGCTAGCTTAGAAATTTGTCCAACAGAACCCGTCAATATTCCAATATAAGTGTCATATCGATTCCCTTTAGGAACTGGCCGCCCAAAAACGTCCAACCCGTTTCGATTTCATACCCCTTTGGGACGGGGGTCCTCAGATAGCCTTTTGTTGTCGATTTTGAACATCAGCTTGAAGTGAATTTCCTTTTGGCGGGGTAATCATCAGGGGACAACCCTGTGTCGGGAGGGTCCAGCTTTTACCAACACTCGGATGTTCCATGGTTCAGGTTCAGATGTCCACGTCAGGTCCGGGACGAGCAACTGCAGCCGAAGCTGATTGTTTCCTCCCTGCTGGGCCCCCCTGCGGAGGTGTGGATCTTGCGCTACGAGGACGGGACGGGACGAGACTGTCCCTTAAAGTGAAGGTTTTGAGGGGTTGACGTTAACCTTCAAACCACCATTCCTGGAGCCTGAAAGAATCATTGGCAAACGGATGTTCCCAAACTACCACTTTCCATCAACTGTTCTGGGAAAGCACAATTTGTAAAAGGTTGCTTCAGGTTCCAGGTAAAGAGGGGTAATTTTGAGGATGTCACTTTGTGGACCTAGACAGGGGACCAAGGCACTCGAAAAAATAGCGCTGATGCTCAGGGAAGACCGATGTATTGGAGCGATCCTAGTCAGCTGGTCGAAGCTCCCCAGTGAGGGCAAGCCACCTGTGCCTCGTATTTTCGGTGGACCCTGGGCAATGGAGCTTCTGTGCCGTTGGCTTTCTTTGTCTCTCTCTCTCTCTCTCTCTTTGTCTCTCTCTTTTTTTCTCTCTCTCTCTCTCTCTTGATACATACATATATGTATATATATATATGATATGTATACAAATAATCTAATGTATTGTGTATATTTGGCAGCGCTTGATTTTGATTTCTTATTTGTCATCAGTGGTACCTGTACTCACTGAAGTTGGCAGTTTGGCATGTTGATGGAGTTGTTTTGCACTCGCAAACACATTTCGCTCTCAATGTTTGAATATGTTTGGCATCGGAATCCCATGCGCAAGTGCTTGGATGGCCAACAACTCGCTCAGCTTTAGACAACAAAGCAACAGGACCTCGAGGCAACAAGCTGTCTAAGAGGCGCTCCACCCCAAACCACTGGTTCCAGGGTTAAATAGGCCATACAACCACTTTAGGGCCACTACGTAAAGGATAGATGCTTCCTGGGGGAGATGGTTTCGGGTAGAAGCCATTTTTAGACAATGGTGGCACATTGAGGTGGTCCAGCACAGCAAGCGCACATTGCAAGGACTGGCAGCATGTTCCTGGCTGGAAGCAGATGCCAGATGGCCTGAAGGGGTATTTGGCTAGGATGCTTTGCGTTCAGTTTGCGGATACTTTGAAGCATTCCAACCTCAGAGAGCGTTGAGCGGAGGGAATTCCAGTGCACTGCTTCACGAATGTGCCACGTGGTGAAACTTGTGGATCCAGAATCTTTAGCCAACCAATATCCATGTTTCCTTCAGACGTTGGCTTTCAGAAGCAGCTCACCAGAAACCCCGTCTGGGGGTTTGGGTTTCTCCCACGTGGCTGGGCTTACCTTAGGGCCCAGGAGCCGTGGCTGCATCCTTTTCCATAGCTCCCCCTCCAAAGCGCACATAGAGCGTGGAGGTCGATGTCAGGCGCTCTGACATGCAAGGCGAAAAAGCGGGGGAACCTTGCAGCTTGGCAGATCCCGACGCCCCATTTCTGTAGAGTTAGAAGGGTTTACCTGTAATGCCCATTTCATCACACGCTGTCCATTGGCAATTATTTTATGTCAAAGGTGCCTTCTTTGCCCCTTCACAGGACGGTTGCTGCCTTTGAAGCGGTTGCTGTGTGTTCCAAAGCTGAAGCGCGTTCTGCAGCGGCCATCGTTGGATACACAACATGCTTTATTGTAGTTTGCTTTAGTGGCAGAAATGGTTGATGCTGGACTCCTCTTTGTGGTAAGCGCAAACCAGATCACTTTTCACAAATCCGCAAGTAGAGGTGCAAGTTTACTTAATCAGACGCCACCATTGCTTGCTTAGCCTCGTCCGGCTCTTTCTTCCTTGCCTTTTGCGTGGTGAGAATGGTACAGCGCCTAGTACCATCTGCCTTTTTCTGCTGAACAACTTGACCGGATCAAGTGCCCCCAATTCGAAGGGGAACCACCACCGAGTCCTTGGGAAGATCGCCCCCGTCAGAACCATGTGCAGTTTCTTCAGCCAGGCTGAAACCCTCATGCAGGCAGGAGACGCTTTCGGATGAGTTGGGAGCAGCTTGTGGGGTGAGGTTGGCGATTGACAGCCATCTCACTGAGTCGAAGCACAACACAATTCCGTTTGTGTTTCTCTTGCAACTTGCCACGTGGCAAGTGGCAGCGCTCTGGTTGGTGCCTCAGGAGCTGCGGAGGTACTCTGCGGATGTGGCCACCAGGATCTCGGGGCGGACGGCTTTCTTCTGAGTCGAGGGGTATTGCCAGGGACGAGTTGGAAGCCCAGTAAATTCGTGAGTTTGATCGCAATATTTTGAGCATCCCCTAAAGGAAACCATGCTTTTAACATGTCCAGGCCCCTATCGGCATCATGTACTGCAACATCTCAGTTTCCCAAAGCAAATCGTGACTTCCGAATTTTGACTGATGTTGCTTGGTGTTCAACACATTTAACTTACCTTTTGAGCCCTGGAAGGTGCAGCTCATGAGAGCCCTTGCTTGTTTGCAGCTCGACGGGTCTGCTCGCAGTTTCAGCTCTCTGTTCACCTCTCCTTTTGGGCGGCTGCCTTGGTGCCTTGGTGCCATGTCTAGAACACCGTTCAGCGTGGCGCAGACGAATATGCTGATGCTCTGTGGCGAGTACGTGAAGGTGCCCTGCCACAAACCAGCGATGTTTAGTTCTTGGAATGTAGGGAACCCTGTTAAGTCAGCCGAGCGGCGGAGCGGGTGAAAGAGAAAGAACCCCAGCGTCTGACCCTTGTCAACTTCGAAGGAGAACGCACGGTTTGGAGGAAACAAGATGGTTTATTCTTGCCCTTGGAACTTCAACTCACGGTACTTCACCTTGGGTTTGCCAATGTTTTGACTTATTGAGACCACCGTCCCCGAAGCTCCCTCGGGCTCCAGAAAGCAAGGTTCGGTATTAGCATCTCCTGATTTGTTCATGGTCCAAAAACCAGGGGACGACCTCCGCATTTTCCCATGTCCTTTGCATCGCCCGTTTTCATTTAGGGTCACTTCGGTTGGTGAGTCAGCCATGAACCCGGCGATCCGGCCTTCTCTTGGTGGGTGCAGTTCTCTTTTTGTACGTGCCGTTTCAAAGGGCACGCCCACGGAAGGCCCCCCCCTGGGGCTCCCCCATTTTTAGACACGCACAGTGTTACTTGCGTGTCCATTGACCTTTGGGGGTGTTAGAGCGGTAGTGTAAAGGCGTTGTAACACGGAACCATGACCATGATCACTAACTTTGGTGCTTCCCTGTTTGTGAGCCACAGGTGCCTATGAATTTACATTGGGAACCAACTCAACAGTCGCAGATGGACAATCCCCACCTAGATGATGTCCACCAAAGGGTCCACTATCAACTGGCTGCTGTTTGCTGCTGCGGTGCGGGCGTTGGTGGGCTTGGTTGGTGGTTCGGCTTGGCTGGTTGGTGGTTGGTGGCCGGCTCCATGTTTCATGGTTGCTCGACCTTGAACGGGCGGCGGGGTCGGCATCGGCTGGCCCCACATCCGTGTGCAGTTCGCTATGGGGCTGCCACACGACCAACGTCTACACACGGGAAGCGAGCAAACGGGAGGTTTTTATGCAGCAGCCAGTCAAACTCACACCGAGGTGAAGAACGGCTTCCTCGACGACATCGTCCGCGACAACCCGAGCTCCAACGAGTCCACCTTGACCGCGGAGGCCGCGACCTGCCCAGAGCTCTACGCACGCCGGAGGAGTCGGGCGGCGGTGGGCGGAGCGGGCCATGCTTTGGGAGAACGTTTCCAGCACATGTGCGTTTTTTGGGGACCAACAAAATGGTGGCTTTCCTTTTGTTTTCCTTTTAAACCACCCCCACAAGGTTTTTCATCCATCCCCGTGCGTTTCAGAATACGTTTGTTTCCTCCCCCGGTTGGTTTTTAATACAGGAATCTAACACTTCTGGAAGGGAAGCTTGAGCCAGTGGAATCCCCGTTTGGTTGGTATATATAAGGAAACCCAAACGGATTCCCTTGCCATTTTGGGAGAATCAAACATTTTGAGAATCCCCCACCCCCAGAGGTCAGTGGGGAGAAGGAAACACCCAGGAAGCTAAGCTCAAAGGAGGGCTCCAGGCCTTTTTCTGCCGATGCGACTGGCAGACGCCAAATCGGTGAGTAAGATGTGAGCAGGACACCTTGAAAGTCGGACACAGCTTTGAGCTGACAATAGAGATCGTTCCCCAACTGACCCAAAATCAATTGCCTTCCTGTTGCGATTTCAATACGTGAAAGCAAATAGTTGGAATTCGACAGGAACAATTGGCATATTTGGACGTCCATGGTTGAACAATCCGGAGGGTTTTCTTCCGGATTAATACCGTTCACCTTGAACCTTGCAAAGTGCACGGGACCTTCTTCCACTCATTAACTCAAAACAAATGCCTTGGATGCCTCCAACTCGGTTTAGGGAAGTGATTCGGGATCCCAGAGCAGCGGGGCAGGAATGAGGGAACGACCCCATATGAGCCTTCCCCAGTGATTTCCTTCAAGGGATCCCTGGGTTCATTTTTCAAATCTCGGTCGATTCCCTGCTGAGAACCAACAAGCAGCTAACCACCATGAACCGAGTTATCATACGGCAGGAGTGAAGGGCTCTCGAGTAGCTCTGCCAGCGCAAGCTCGGCGCTGGAGGCTTTGGAGAACATGTTCCAAGCCATGGAAACTTCGGGGGATCCCGAAGGAGGATGTTTGTTCAGTTTGGGTTGGTGGTTTGGACATCTTTAAACAGCGAAGCCTTGGTCCACTTCAAAGGCAAACGAAAAGGAGGTTGTTTCAACAGTTTGGTGGCTTAAGCCATGCTAGCGTGAATCGTCCAACCCTGAAGGCGTGTGAGGAGCACACGCTGATGACACCCCCTGGCACACTGCCCAACACGCTGACCAACACGCTAGGCTACGGCTACGAGGTGAGAAGCTTGGGGAGTTGCATCCTGTTCATGTGTTCAGCGCACATGACTGTTCCGAACTGCTGGTATCGTTGGTTCTTTCCCTGAGTCAAAAAGTGCTCATCTGGTGTCCCGCTGCTTTGGAGTCTTGGAATTGACTCTGACAAAGATAGACGCCTTTGCTAAGCTGTAATTTGCTATGATTGCCGGGGCTGCTCAAACAGTGTCAGTGTTTAGACTTGAAGTGAATTCATGGATTCCTTGAAGCCAGGAATATGACGAAGGTTCTGTGGCTTGTTCGAGGGATACGTGTTTTGTGTTGCCCGTGAATGACTCCAACTCTGTCAGCTGAACGCCAATTGGACTATAGTAGGGGACAGTCCCAACCAGAAATGGGTGGGACCCGTATTTCTTTTAGAATGTTGTGGGGTGGTAGAGGAGCAGCTTGGACACCTCATGAATTGACGCTGTGTTTTTTTGGTAGATTTCTGTGCAGGGTCTCCGCTAATCAAGCTACCGTGGAGCAACTGGCGGATAAACATGCTTCAAAGTCTCACTTTCCAAGGGCTTCATCCGAATCCCGCGACATTGTCAGGCAAGGTGTGTCGCTCCCCGCAATGTGGCCTGTCCTGAACCGATGAAACTCGTTGGTTGCAATTTTCGGAAACAGGACAGAGCCTAAGATCCGCAAGAACCTGCACTATAGTCAATGGGTCAAGAGAATAAAGCCACACCCGACTGACCCCACAGCGGTTGCTGTTGGGGAATAAGAAAGAGAGAGAGAGAGAGAGAGTCTTAAGCAGTTATGTGAACAGGCACGCTGGTTCCACTCGGTCCATTAAGATGACATGCTCAACACTATCCTCTAAATGGCGACTTTAAGTTAAGGTAAACCAACGGGTGCCAATAGCAAGTTGAACTCCTCAAACTGTTCAGCCTACTGAGGCAGGTCATAAAGGGTGGGACAAAAGGGGTTGGTTTACGTTTAGCTATGGTCATAATCCAGTCGAAGGTACCCAGGCCCAAGCTGGGGGCTGAACATGATGGATATTGAACCCTTTCCGGGCTAATGGAAGCCATGCGCTGCTCCGTGGCTGAAACACACCATGTTGCCCCGATTTTGAGAAACGTGCTCCGCGCTCCAGGAAGCCTTGCCCATGCCCTCCATGGACGAGACCCAGCGCCTGATCGACGCCCTGCGTGCCATGCCCAACGCACCCTTCGGGCACCTACTGCTCCCAGAGGCGAGGACTCTACGACAAGGGCGGTGCTGGGTTCATTCGTTTGACTTGAGACTTATCTATGTTTCCCTGTAAACCTACTTTGGGGGGTGACTGGAATGGTAAAACAATGAGGCCAGTGATGGCACTAGGTTCTTTTGGGCCCAAGTGACAGCATTTGGAAAAAAGGGGGAAGTTTCCTCTATGATGGTCATGATAGTTCGCTCAGGAAACGATCGGGCAAAGTCGGTGCCTCTTAAGGAGATTCATGATGTGAGTGAATCGCATTGAAACAGGTGTCTGTGGACGGGTGTTTGTGTGCGGACCAAGTTTGTGTTGGGTGGCGTAAGGAACGCTGCGAAAGGGCCCATCTGATGGGGTGAGGGAACAGGGCCACCTTTCTTGGACGGTTGCCGCGTGCAATGCACCACGCCGAGATGCAAGCGTGAAAGAGTGAAAGAGGGATGGTTCCCAAACAAGGGGGAGCCAAACAGAAACCTTGATCAAATAATGAACAAATAATAGTTCAATCCTGAATCCTAGGTTTAGGGTTGATCATTGACCAAGAAATATGGATTTTGGGAAAACTGAGATGTCATGGGGCCAAGTGCTGTTAGTCCCCCTGGCCCCGTTTGACTCTAACTCGGTGATTTCTTTCTCGGGGCCATTTTGGCTCAAGTCCTTGACTTGATCCCTGGTTTCGATCTCGGATCGGTTTATTTGATTTTTCTTCCCAGGTAGATTGGAACATGCCATGGACGCCGTTGCGGATGCCAGGCATGATGCTCGCCAGGAGGCAGCTCGAGAAGCCGTGAAGGAGGAAGCTGCCCAGGCGACAACGCCGAGGTCTGGTCTGGCGGCCATGGAAGTAGATGCGGAGCCAACTGCAGCGGAGCGAGGTTGGGGACGGCTGCTCCTAGCGCTGTCTCCCCCCCAGACTCTAGCTTGGAGGCACACCCCACTTCCCCTCACCCCGGATACGGCGCTTGAAGCTCGGATTGAGTTGGCATCCTTGAGGTCCATGGCATTATGTGGACACAGATGAGTCTTGTGGACCCACCACTGCCGACCTGGTGGCCTGGATTCAGCGG